AAATTCAAGGCATTAATGTTTGCCTACAAAACCACCACTGGCTCTGCACCCCTTTACCTAAATTCATTACTCCAGACTTATGTGCCCTGTAGAAGCTTGCGTTCTGCAAGTGAACGACGCTTTATTGTGCCATCTCAAAGAGGCACAAAATTACTAATCTCTGACTTTTAAATTAAATGTTCCCTCCTGGTGGAATGACCTGCCCAACTCAATCCGAGCAGCTGAGTCCTTAGCCATCTTCAAGAATCGGCTAAAAACACACCTCTTCCATCTTTATTTGACCCTCTAACTCTAGCACTTTCCATTCTAATTATTTTCTTTATATATAAAAAAAAAAACTTGCCCCTTTTTGACTCTATTTATTTACTAACTGCTTACTTAACTGCTTGTTTTCTTTAAAAAAAAAATACACTCGCTTCTCTAATCTTTTAATTCTATCTATTTGTTTTCATTTTATTTATTATACAATTATAATTCTGACTTTCTTACTTCTGACTTCTGATTAACAAAAGCAAAAAAGGCCTCTAACATTAGCTTGCTCTATTCTTTTTCTATTCTATCTGTTTTCTTTTTTTTATTTATTATATAATTTAAAAAAAAATACCTTACTACGTGTACTGCATTAAGCTTACTGAGACTTGTTATAGCACTTGCATATCATTGCTCTTTTGCTGATTTTGATTGCTTCCATTGTCCTCATTTGTAAGTCGCTTTGGATAAAAGCGTCTGCTAAATGTAAATGTAAATATCAACGTGCCTAATAATTATGCATGTGGTGTAATTGTGTTGCACAAGTTCATGTGTTCATTTTCTTTATGGTATAATATATGGGTGAAACTTTAGGGAACGATTCTCGCTATTAAGTAGTTGCTTATTAGCATGTATATTGCTAGCATATTGGCTGTCTTATTCTGCATTACAACATTTTAGATCTCTTAACCCTGCCCCATGTCTAATCTTAACATCTACCTTACAACCTATTAATAAGTAGTACATTAGGAGTTTTATGAGGCAAATGTCATAGTTAGTTAATAGTGAGAATTGGTCCCCAAACTAAAGTGTGACCAATATATCATTAGTTCAACTCCCATACACGTGCTTGTCATTGACATTTGCATCTGCCACATTATGGTTTTGTTATATTTTTACAAAATAATAATCCTGGATAATATGCATTAATAAAAATACTAGCAGAATGAAGAATGTGACTTTTTTTCCAGGGTGAATCTGTATGACTATCGGTCAATCTGTAGGGTGTATGCGCAGACCAGTGATACAGCACACACACTTTTGCACGTGAGTACCATACAAAGCCATTACATCTGTGATTTTGCATGTGTTTCTCATTGTAGTTTCTTCTGACCCAATATTTTTCTCTGGTTTATTTTGTATTTTTGCAAAAGCAGAACTCTAAAACATATTTTCTTATTATGCCCCCTCATTGAAGTCCTTGATACATACATCCACGTCGTATCAGCAGCTTGTCAGTTCTCCACGGACATGTTTGAGACGTGTTTCTCAGTTCTGTCTAGTAACTTGTGAACAGCTGTAACCGTTAACGGACTCTTGACTTTAAAGAAAACTGCTGTCACAGTAGTTTATCAGTGCACTAGTTTATGCAAGAACTACTGCTACTTGATCACTTTTATATTTCTAATAATTATTTTATTTGTTATCATTTCTGCTGTTCAGCCAAAAAAACCCCGTCTCGGTTACGTATGTAACCCTCGTTCCCTGAAGGAGGGAACGGAGACGTCACGTCGGATGACCAACAAATTGGGATCTCGCTTAGAGAGACCAATCCACTTCGAGTGTAAACTAAATGAGCCAATGCACATTGGCATGTGATTATTGCATCCAGCTGCCGCTGATCACAGCATGAGTATAAGTAGGCAGCAGGTGCAGCGCATATTCAGGTTTTCGCTGAGGAGCCGAGCCGTTGACCCAGCCTTTCAGCGGTGGTACAGAAGCTGTGGCGACGGGACGTGACGTCTCCGTTCCCTCCTTCAGGTAACGAGAGTTACGTACGTAACCGAAACGTTCCCTTTCAGTCGGTCACTCTCGACGTCACGTCGGATGACCGACGAATTGGGATCCCTACCAAAGGGCCACAGGTACTGCCCCTTCCAGTGTCCTGTGGAAGCCTCCTGCGCCCCTACTTTTTGGTGTAGGCCAGGACTTACTACAAGAGGACCATCTACTGCTGCTATGGCACTACCCACTCAGTAAGACTGGATAACACTGGGAAAACATACCCGTACCACTTGGGACAGGAACGTTGCGGAAGCCACATCCTTCCCGAAGGAGGTTTCGGAAGCACTTACACATATGAACAACCGTTTAGGTGCATATGGAAGATTAGAGGTGATTGTAACCCTCTTGGAACATAGCAGGAAGTCTGCCGGGAAAACACGGGCTCTGAGGCTATACCGTGGATTTTACACATATGGGATCCACTTAG